CCCACTTGACTCCATCCCTTACAGCATTGGTATTGTATTCGATATGCTGTTCCTATAGCTGTTCGATAGCCCGCCCTGTAAGCAGTCCTATGTACATCGAGAAGAAATCTCTATCAGCTCCATAAATCAGGAGTGCCGCATTCCGTTGCGACGCTATAACATCACAAATTAACAACATCACATTCATCTTGATCAACTCCGGGATAATCAAATTTAGTTACCTGTATCGAGTGCATCTACCCCAATTCCATATTCCACATTTATAATTTGACTTGTATCTGTATGAGACTTGATATGACTGTGCGTAGGTTTGTCTAAGCATAAGTCGATTAACAGAATGAGAAAATACAGTCCTGATATTATTACTGTTATTAATATGGAAGGCAAGAACAGACGGGAGCTCTCTTACCATGACCATTTTCCCTTTATCTTTTTTACCTAGTTGACCTAGGGCCTACTCGAGCCGGACAAAGAAGAACATCTTAAAGTGCTACTTGGACGAAAATCGCTCCAAAATGAAAACTCTTTCATTTGAGCTGAAACTTTGCTGAAATAATCTTTGATACATTAATAATCACTCACTGAAATATCTTTCTTATAGTCGAAAGAAAAGTGCCGAAGTTTTATGGTTGATTTTCGTCTGCCATTAATTTGTTTGTCTCACGGCCAAAGGGTCATAATGTACAGCGGTTTCTCTCTATGACGTCATACATGCAACCCATTCAAATTAGCGTCGTTTTAACCATACATTTCTTGTTCGATTACCTGAAGTTTATTTGATGTTTTAACGCGTCATCGTGAAAAGAATGAACTCAGTAAACTTTTTTTAAAGGTTTGATACTTTTTCAAATGGTGGAAAGTCCTTTGGACGCTCTCTCTGTGTCAATCCTGAAGAGTTAGAACCAGTTGCTACCAACCGGAAGAAGTTATCGTGTATAAAAGAGAAGAGGTTTTCATAAGAATTCCTTACTTTGATTCCATTATTTGTATTTGCTACATACTGTCCATGATATAAAGATCTTAAATTTGAAGTTTCAATGTAATCTAACAGTTATTGATTATATGAAAAAATCTGATTGCCTTTTGAATTCTGCGTTGTGATATAAATATTTGTGATAGTTACTTAGATCTATGTGCCGAATAATCTAGAATGTGAGCTCGTAATTCTCCTGATTTGCTACAGAACGTTTATTATTTGCTCCAAAATGTTTATTATGCATTTAATAGGTAAAAACATACGATTATCTAACATCATCTTTGTAAAAAAATATGTCAAAGGCTTCTTATTTATTACTCGCCTGATAGCGGCGTCTGTCACTCAGCTCGTAGATTTTACTTTTGTGTCGGATGTCTCGCGGACCCAAATTGTGAGGTTGCTCTTTGCGCTTGTATGTAAATATACCTTGAAAAGTTGTTATCCTTAGAATGTTCCGAATAAATCCCGAATCTCCCTGTCACTTCGCGCGATGGAGCCGCTAGAATCTCTCCCATGCGTCCTGACGAGCTTTGTTGTGATTCTCGGCGTGCCGAGATGTATTGAAATTTCCCAATTATGATCGTCAATATTATCGAAACTGAAAAAAAATTCAGCGCCTAGAAACTGTTTGGTCATATAGTAGTTAAGGAATCGAGTGAAACATTATATATTTTCTGAATAAACCAAATAAACCGAGTTTTACGAACATGGTACATACATTAGCCACCAATGTTTTGGTTTGAGTTGAATGTATGACGTCATACGTTACTCGTGCCAGTCTTCTTGAGCCGAATTCTTGTAACAAGAAATTAATGGCGGACGAAAATAAATAGTAAAATTTTGGCCCTTTCCTTTTGAATATAAGAAAGATATTTCAGTGAGTGGTTCTTAATGTATTCAAGATTATTTCAGCAAAGTTCCAGCTCGAATGAATGAGTTTTAATTTCGGAGCGATTTTCGTCCAAGTAGCACTTTAAGGGGCATTCGGCACCGGCATTAATGCAACGGAATGACACATTAAAAAGAGCTATAAAATATCTCCTGTGAAAACGTTTTCTAGAAGAGGAATAAGATGCACACGACTACCAATACCCTTACTGACTGGCGTTTCTATCTGCCTAAGAAAAATAAATATTTTTACTTTAGTTTGGTTTTGGTTTCGATTCTAAAGGTCAATTCCGGTACAGTGCATTTTCTGCTGATTTAAATGCCGGTCGAACACACGTCGCATATGTACAATTGATTATTTATTTTGTCTTCACGTGATTCGCTAGCCTTAAGATCATATGTCATAATCCTGAATAAAGGTTTATGGCTTAACTAAAGAAATTCATTTGGTTATATTGAAAATGAATGTAATATAAAGCATTTATTATGTGTCGAAGAGCTACACCAATCAGTCTAAGTGCTCATTGCTGCAGGGGAAATTTTTTTCGACTTGTTAAATTTCAAGTAACACTTCACCGCGTATCACGCCCCAGCTTGTCCTCAATTCAATATGTGCAACAACTTTTATATATCTATTTGACTGCATTTCTTTTTACCAACAATTTTAGCCTTTAGAGCATCAATGTTACCTTACTAGCTAGGTATCGTTTCTTCACGATTTGCTGTACATTATCTTATACATTGAACACTTTTGGACTTATAAACATCGATAACTTGATTTTATAGCCTGATCTGAATCAAATGAMTTATCAATTTAAATTGGCTAGTCATGGATATTATCATAATTATAACTACCCCAAACCAAGATAGTATTCACACTGACCTTACAGTCTTCGAGCAGACATTTGCTCCGTTCGGTGCCAAGTTTGCTAGGCTTTGAGCCAGGAGAGCTAATTCAATTACAAAGCAACTAAAGGCAAAGACCTTGACAAATCCAGGTATCATAATTACTGCATATAGTCTTGTTTGTCAGCCGAGTAAAAAGAACAAGAAAAAGAAAGTTAGATAAGTACTGAATGATACGATTCTCGATTGATATGCTGCCTTCAGTTTTTAAGGCTGTATAAGCCGGAAGCGGAAACTATTTTTATAGTACAAAATATATGGCAAGGACCGGGTGCGAAAATACTGCGATAGACGTAGGATCTGTAAACAAATCTAGTAAACCAAGACTAACATAGAAATAAAAGATAACCAAGGCTGATACTACGTTGAATACTTAACACAACAATAACATGATAGAGTCCATACTGAAAGTCAAAATGAAACAGTAAACATCCTGTTACGTTTTGTCATGATCACGGGCACATCGCCAACTATTCCGGTCATGCGCCCGCGTACAAATGCAGCGGTGTCGCTTGAAAGTGTTAAGCGAGTTAAGTCAGATTTTACAAAGAAATGTATAGAGAGTCAAGATAGTTTTCGATTTATAAATTTCTGTGTAAACAGTTTTCCACTTGCCGGGGTAGAAGAACAATATATAATATTAAAGCTTTTAATTTTTACCAAACATACCAAAAATACACGCATTCTAAACTACTGATGTCGAATCTGTGGTCGATTGAACGAATTTATACTTTTCGTTTTTTACTTTCAAAAAGCTCCGATTTGAGACGAATATTTGTGAGATCCTTCTTCAAGAATAGGCACTTTGTGAAGCAAAAACCGGAATAGTTGGCGATGCTGAAAGTAATTCACAGTCGATTAGCTGTTATGCTATTTTGCTACACCGTGCTAAAGAGACTCAATCAGGGTCGAAGCAGCTGTCCATGGTTGCATTTTGACTTTCAGTTTGGACTCTATCATATCACACATTGTCGTGTTAAGTATTCAAAATTGTATCAGCCTTGGTTATTATTTCTTTTAATATTAACTTTTTTTTTTGTCAAACGTCAGATGACATATGCTGGATATTCTCTTTCGGTTCCCGGGGAGTTTCGAGCGAAGGGAGAGTTTGTCGAGCACGGGTACAGAGGGCGGCGGACAGTTTGAAAACGTCTAATAAAATAGTCGTAAGTTATTATGTTATTCATTGCGTAAACAATTCATTTCCTTTACTTGGTGAAAGCGAAAGCAGTTCTTGCTCAAGCACGCCAATCTTGATAAAAATAAAAATAAAAATAAATAAAATAAACACCAACTGTCGATATGTAATGGACCATATTCACTTGAGTGAAATGTTTTTCCATTTCAGACCACGTGTCATTATCTTGACACTAAGATCACTTGGATTATTTGTTTGACAAATATGATACTCTCGTGCTATTTTCAAAAAAAATAGAAAAAAAAAAAAAAAAAAAAAAAAAAAAAAAAAAAAAAAAAAA